CATCACCACCACTATCTTCATCATCTCCATCACTACCATCACATTGTCATCACCACCACTATCTTCATCATCTCCATCACTACCATCACATTGTCGTCACCATCACTATCTTCATCATCTCCATCACTACCATCACATTGTCATCACCACCACTGTCTCTATCATCTCCATCACTACCATCACATTGTCATTCTCAACATTATGTATTTTTCCAGGGTTTTTCACCTCTAAGCCAGCACTCAAAAACAGATCAACAATCTTCACTCTTGGTAACCGTGGTAATGTCTTGACAACTRAACTTGAAGAGCCAATTATCGTGCCTCATGCAGCACAAAAGAATGAAAAAAGGGTAAGGACCAGGGCAAAGTACACCAAGATCCAACAACCTACCTTAGACATTTCCAAGCACCTCAAAGTCAATCTCATTTATTCACAAGAGCTCCACAAAGTGACACCACAAACCCCCACCCAACAAACGTCCCAAGTACACAGCCCAAACTTTCCCTCCCAAAGCAGCATGTGTTGCATTAAATATCCAAGTAACAAAGCAATATTTTCCCCCTCTTTAGTATTCATTTGAGAGCCTTTTTCGTAGCATGCACTATGCTCTATTGGATAATGGCTGTCGAGAATACCTCTTTCTCTCAGACTTCTACATGGTGCAAGGAACTCATGCTAAAGATTTGTTTACTCAAGTTCTTGGCAAAACACTTTCGTTGTTTTTGGTAAGTAATTCTTGTGTCAAACAGATGAATTACTTTATTTTTTATTTTTACATTTAGTTAGAAGTATCATGCTTGGTTGATTTCCTTGGTAAACGAGAATTCTATATCATTCCTGGTAGTATATTACAAATCTTTGAATTTGTTTAACCCAAAATAATGGATGTCAATCTGGTTGTGAAAGCCAGGCCAAGAGCTGAACTAAGGAATCAAAGGGTAGTAGTTGTAATCCACCCGCATCTCTCCCGTCCTTGGCATGACATGAAAGTAGAAATATTTGAGGATCTTCAGTTATCTAGTTTCCTTCCCTCCACAAAACCCACCATGAGGAATTGTAGAGATAAATAGCTAAAAACTAGTGTGAGCTGCGTCGGTGTTTCTTATGAAACAGTAATGATAAATGGGCTAAAGGAAATTTAGGCAAAGTTAAAGTCAAGGCACACTAGGCAGCTGTATTCGGTTGCTGCGGGGGCGCCGTCAGGGGCTTCATAGCACATGGCATGCTACGTTTGTTGATCGTCGCGGATCAATACGTTGCGCTCGATTGCTGCTTTTTATTCCTCCCGCGCACCCGTCATTGGTTGGCTTTATATTAGGTAAGTATCATTCTCCACTACATCGGTCAGTATGACTGGTGTCTGGAGGTGGACCAGGTTGCGTGGCCATGGTTACCTCCGCTGTGAGCAGTAGCACGACCTGCCGCAGCTTTTCAGGCACCTCCCTCCAATTCATCCGTGCCGATGAGTTTAAAAGGGTAAATTTTACACCGTGAAAAGATTAAAAAAAGTTACTGACGTTTCGGACGTTAGTCCTTCGTCGGAGTAAAAGAGGCATATTGAATCGTAGATCTCTCTGTGAGTTAGCCGGGCCCTGAGGTTGTTAGTTTAGCTTTCGATAAAGTTTATGTTCAAAATAAATAAATAATTAATTAAGGATTAATAAATTGATATGAGACGACGCAACGACGAGGTAAAGAATGCGAGAGAAAGAATTAATGGCTTAATTAATAGATAAGAGATAATCTTATGAGAGAACGAGTTAATTTTAGCGTTGACGATCGAATAATCACAGTTTTAGAACGAAAGATTAAGACTATTAGGAGTCAGATAAAAGCTTATTTCCAACAGGCTTGAACAAGTTAAATTAACTTCGAGTGCTGAAAAGGAAACCGGAAGCCTTTATGCTACATGCGAAGTTAAGTTTATCTGATGTGTGTTGTTCTCTCCCTTGCCACGAAAGGTTTTCTCTGCGAGTTGAGAGTTGTGTATGTAGTGGTGGTGAGTGTGGCTAGAGAGACTGTTCTGTTGCTGCCTTGGTGATTGCTGTTTCTGCTGTTATATATAAAGAGTATATTCTTGTCGTTGCTGTTGTCAGGTTGCTGTCGTTGTTCTCTGGGTTCTGTTGTTGCCATGGTTATTGTTGTTATTGCTTTGTTCTTCCCTTTATCCCATTGGCCCAACCCGGTTAGATTTACCACAAAGCTGTTGCGCACTCCTTCGAAACTTTTGATTACTAATCCAGTACAAGAAAGGATTGATACTGGATCCTGCAATGAATATGCATTCAGATAGATCTTCTGCAATTCCACCCCAAAGACTTTCCTCTAGCCTCAGAACTCCTTTCAGAAGAGATACAATTTGGTACGGCACAACAGTGATGCAGAACACAAGGATAACGTTACCAAGACGACGAACTGCCTTTCTTTGCGACTGCAGCATGCAATTCTTTCCGGATGAGTTCATTTTCAGCGGTTTCCATCTTTTTTCCAAAACTTTTGCGATTTTCCACACTAAGTAGCCCAGAGTGCCAACTGGCATCACAAATCCAAACAGGAATCCTATGCAGTTGCCCAAAAAATTCACTCCACCAACTGAGTATCTATTGTCGTGTTCCACACACCCGGGACGAGAAAACGTTTTTAGAAATCTTGGAAAAATACCCACCAATGATATCACCCATGTCAATGGAATGACGAGCTTAAGGTAGCGAACATCACCATACTTGATGGATCGTAGAGGTTTGACAATGCCTAAGTATCTGTGCAGCGATATCATGATGATAATCAATGCAGAGGTAAAGGCCCCGAGTAAGACAAGAGTATCATTGGAGAAAAGTTTACACGCCACAGTATTGATGGTGGACTTGTCAGAGACGAACACTTCAATGGAAACTTCGACAAAGCCAGATATCCCGACAAGGATATCTGTTACGGCCAAATGGACAAGAAGAAAGTTGACAAAGGTGTGGTAGGATTTGTCTTTTCGCACCACGAGACAAACCAGTGTGTTTCCAACAACATTAGGGAGCACAAGCACTGCTGTTAGGACGAATTTAAGGGATTTAAGAATGAGATCTTTTTCGACCATTGTTGGTGACCAGTTCTGCAGTATACTCGAAACTTTTTCGGCCTTTATAAGAACTTCAAGAATACATATATGGAATACCCAGACAAATGTCTATCTTAAGTCCCAATAGCCAATTCTTTCTCTTTGACAAGAGGGTTTAAGTAACTTGAATTCTATCAAAACAGCTACATGACGTCGTTGGAGTTCCTCAAACACTTTAAATCAGCAGGAACTGTATCATACCTATAAAAGCTTTTTATCTGGTTTCAAACCACAAACAATGAACGATGAATGCCGACTTGTTCAATAGCCGACTTCCACAGGGTGTTGCTAATATAAGTGGAACTGCAGTCAAGAAAACAATGCTGGAAATACTGCTTGTCGTAGTGAATAGATACTAATCATTATCAAGCAACAAGAAATGGTTTCACAAACAATGAACGATGAATGCCGACTTGTTCAATAGTCAACTTCCACAGGGTGTTGCTAATATAAGTGGAACTACAGTCAAGAAAACAATGCTGGAAATACTGCTTGTTTTAGTGAATAGATATTAAACATTATCAAGCAACAAGAAATAGTTTCACTTAACAGCTTATGTTATAATATAGCTCATCTAACCAAGTGTGCGTTGACTGTGGACCGGATATGTTCAGATATCTAATATTTAATTCCATATAATAATTCTCTCTCGATAATTTAACGAATAAAAAAATACTAAAAAAAAATTAATTGCTGCAAATGGTTTATCAAGAAAAACTTAAAAATCTAACTTTTTTCTCATTCTTGACATTGTTATTGTCTTGGGTAGATGTTCTAGTATGACTACTGAGTTAGTGTCTTAGGAGAGTGCCTTGAAGCATGGTTGAAAAAATATACACCTATTTCTAAAGCGTTTGCCGGAGCTATAGGAGAAAGGCGGTAAAGAAATAAAAACATAAATATAAGATCTATATTTGCCAAATATAAACTTCTAAATTACTACCGCGGATATAGATATATAGCGGAGAAATACTTTGAAAATCTTTTATTGTTTCGTTTCAGAAACAAATGGACACTTATATCGAGAATTGCTACGACGCCATCGGTCTCTTTCTCTGCATCCATCTCATCCATCGGTATAGAATCCTGATGCATAAGAGGAGTGTGCCAGCACTTGATAAGTAAGTACTGCACAAAGTTTCTACCATTCTGATTGGCTGAAATTACATTATATGTGGGATGTTCGTCATTCTGATTGGCTGAAATTACATGTATGTGGGATGTTCGTTATGTTTGGCTGAAATTACGTGTATGTGGGATGTTCGTCATTCTGATTGGCTGATGTGATGTTCGTCCTTCTGATTGGCTGATATTACATGTGGGTGTGACGTCTTGCATACGGCCTTGACAAGTCATGCCGGTGCCAATCAGTGGGATCTCTCGTGATTCTTATTGCTTCAGAAGCAGCAATTGGCCGCATATAGAGCACGTGGACGTGCCGTGACCGTGCTGTACACCACGCTGTTTAACAAGCGCGTTCGTATAGCGATCTTTTTCAGTCATAACTACTATAGATACTTAGGTGATATTGTTGTTGACAGGTACTGGGATACCTTACTAGAGATGTTTTGGCCTCGCTTCACTAATATTGTGGAAATGAACATAGAAAGTGTGCAAGCTACAGATCCACAGAGATTAGGCAACATTGATACAAGACCGCATTATGTAAGGACAAATAAATCATGCTGCTGATGATGGTGATGATAATGATTATGGTAATGACGATGATTGTTATGATGGTGGTGATGACGATGATGGTTGTGCTGATGATAGTTGTAATGATGATGATGATGAAGATGGTGATGATGATGCTGTCATGATGGTGGTGATGATGGTGATGATGATGGCGATGGTGATGATAATGATGATGGACATGATGGTGGTGATGATGATGTTGATGATGATGTTGATGATGATGGCGATGGTGATGATAATGATGATGGACATGATGGTGATGATGAAGATGGTGATGATGAAGATGGTGATGATGAAGATGGTGATGATGAAGATGGTGATGATGAAGATGGTGATGAT